AGGTCGATAAATCGGGCTTGAAGGTTCCTCGAGCATGTTCTCCAACCACAAGTCGAGATCTTCGACCATTCCATCGCTCGATTCACTGAGGTTGATGAACACTTCCGTATCAATCCGTCAATGCGCGGTGCTCTCCGTTCTGGCACTGGAAGATGACGGTTCCGCGACCTCGAATCTCCACCTTCGAGCCGTTGTCAAACTTCACCGTCCCCGTTACGCTTTCATGAAGCTCGGAGAAGGCTTCCTTGGAGCCGGTCATGTGGCTGCTGGCGCCGGAGTCCAGATACCACCGCTGCTTCATGCCACCGCCCATTCGTACAAGGTGGACTTGGGCACGCGACTCGTCGAGGTAAACTGCCTGCAGTGCCTTTCCCTGCTCCGCAGCCGCCGCCTTGACTTTCTCCAACTCTGGCTCGACGTCGTGCAACGTGTAGAACTTCGCCATGAGAAGAGATGGCTCCTCATCGTTCACCTGCGCGAGGTGCGCCTCCTTCTTCTCCTTCCTGAGAAACTTGCAATCCCGGGCCTAGCGCCCTGTCTTCCCGCAGCGTCGACAAGTGTCCTTGTCGATCGGACGCGCGTTGTCGCCGTCCTTCTTCTTCTACGGGACCTTGCCACGGCGCTTGCCGTAGTCGCCACGGCTAGAGGAGCTTTCCTCGGGCCGCCGCTCGCGCATACGAGCCGCCCATTCTTCCTCGGTCAGTAGTAACTTGTTGCTGGTAGTTACCGTCGCCGTCTCCACGCGGTCATCCACCGCCGGCAAGCGCCCAGTCACATTCTCAATCGTGAGGGTGGACAAGTCGATCAACGTCTCGATGGAGAGCGCGATCTGGGCGTACTTAGGCGGCACGATGCACAAGTATTTCGCGACCGCCTCCTCGTCGGTGATGGTGACGTCGTGCGACGCCAGCTGACTGACGAGCGACTGCAGGCGGAGCGAGAAATCTTCCACTGCCTCGTCGTCGCGGAACGCCAACGCCTCATACTCTCGCCGCAGCTGCTGCGCCTTCGCCTTCTTTGCGTGATCAGACCCGATGCGCCCGATGCGCATGGCCTTGAGGGCGTCCCAAGCAGCCTTTGCGGAGTCCTTTGCGACCAGTGACTCCACGTACTTGTGAGGCACAGCGGACAGAATCGCTTCCATAGTTGTGCAATCCTCTTCTTCATCTTCGGTGCCTTCTTCGATGGCCCGCCAAAGCTTGCGCGAACGCAACTTGACCTTCATCAGCACCGCCCACTCGCCGTAGTTTGTGCGTGTGAGGACCGGCCAGTTGGCCCCGCCAACGTCCCGCACGGTCCTGTGGATGATGACCTCCTGGTGCGGTGAAGCGTCTGCTCCGCTCCCTTGCACCGTCGACGCAGCATCTTGGCTTGCCATGACTCTGATACCACTTGTTAGTCTCTGCTCGTTCACTGTTCAGGTAAGTAAAAATGCTTCCGGCACAAACGTACACTTTTAGGATGGAAGAAGAAGATTGTGAACAACTCAATGTATTGAGTATTCAGTTTTTCTGTATGTTTACAAATTAAAACTGCATCCCTATTTATAAGAACTAAAAGCAATTACCCTAGTGGCTTTGCTAGAAATTACTTAAGTTGAAAAGTCATGAAAAATCAGCCTAAAATAGCTGCCATGAAAGTGCTCTGCAGCTGCAAGGAAGTTGCAGTGCAGTAACAAGGAAACTGCATGGATTATATCTTACATTTCGTTCAGCATTGCTATAATCCAAGGCATATACACATGCACGACTGTTATTTAGAATTTGGAGCGACTTTTTAAAAGGGAAGTATATAAAATGCTGCGCAAAAATTTGCTTTTTAATAGGAAAATAAGAGTAGATCTGCCTTTAATTACATTGTATGTTGCATTGTGGTATATAATTCGCAGTTAACAAATGGATTGCGAATCTGATCGCGAATGCCACTAAATGTATGATGGAGCAAAAGGATGAAAGGTATTAAGTAATTATGCGATAGCTCCTGGATAAAAATGATAGAATCAAATAAAAAAGAAATGCATCCCACGTATTCCATTTATATGATATAGGATGTTGTGAAACGGACATATACTCCAATTTCCAGGATTCGAAAGACAGCTGAACTACTCACATACATTCGTACTTTGAAAATGTATGGCTGGGAGCTTCTCTTCGCCAGCTGGTTGATGAAGACGAGGTCCTCCGAAGTTAAATACTTATCGGTAAAATTGAATTTAATCATATAATTTGGCACAACTCCTAAATTAGTATTTTATTTCTGCAGATCATGAATTGGCTCCTCAAACTCAAGCTGATACATTTAATCTGTTTTATTGTCAGACAAGGAAGTATCTGGATGCTTGGTGCGTGTTTTTTTGGGCAACGACACCCACCCTCTTCTCTTTGTGCACGTTTGGACTCTATTCCTTAATGGGCTATTCGCTCGACGCTGCAACGGTATTTTCACTTTTCCATCATTTTTTTCATGAAGAGCAAACATTATTTCTGATAAGATTGTGCTATGTATATAATGTTTTTGTTATATACACTTTCAGGTTTTCACCTGCCTAGCTCTGTTTAACAACTTGATCTCCCCCCTTAACTCTTTCCCTTGGGTCATCAATGGCTTGATAGATGTAAGTTCTCTTATTTTATCTCACAAAACAATTTGTAAGCGCGAAGAAATATATAATATTCGACATGGTTCTCTAGGCAGCTATATCTACTAGACGATTGAGCAAGTATCTCTCTAGCTTTGAAAATGATATTGAGCCCGGAAGTTTATCCCCAATTGTTGATGGCGATAAATTTGGATTTAAAGAGCTGGCTGTTGCTGTACGTGATGCATCATGTGCATGGTCGAGCTGTGATGAGAAGGAATTCAATTTGGTCTTGGAACGTGTAAACCTTTATGTTCCCGAAGGGTTCATGGTCGCCATAATTGGAGAGGTGCGGATATTTCTGCATCATAATTTTTTGTTAGAGGCTAATCTTTTTTTATAAGTAAACTTTTTATTGAGTAAATTTGATTAAGTAAACTTTTTTATTGAGTAAATTTGATTAGGCCATGAACTGAGCTGTGTGCTTAGTCAGATGAAAAAGTTACTGTGTTTTGACTTTTGACTATCAATGCTTTTGATTATAGGTAGGATCGGGTAAATCATCTCTTTTAAACATGCTCCTTGGGGAAACTAGGCTCATCAATGGATCGACACATCTAAATGGATCAAAAGCATATGTACCACAGGTCAGTTTCATTGCCTATTATCACCTTTGTTCATTCTCTTTAAAGCAAAAAGAAAAATAAAATCATACGCGTATATGTTTTAGGTTCCCTGGATAATGTCTGGGACTATCCGTGATAATGTTTTGTTCGGAAAGGACTATGATCAGAAAAGGTAGTTATAAGTTTCCCTAAAATATTAACTGAAAAGGTGCACATATGTTAGTTTTTCCCAAATTTTTCCTGATAATTTAATTTTTACCTTCCCGGTTTACCTGGTCAGATATTCGGATGTATTACTAGCATGTGCTCTTGATCTCGATATTTCGCTAATGGTGGGAGGCGATATGGCTCATATTGGTGAGAAAGGGACCAATTTGTCGGGAGGACAAAGAGCTCGCCTGGCCCTTGCAAGGTAACTGATACTTGTTATCATGAATCATTTCATAAATCACGACACATAATTTATTTTCGTTTATCCATTTCCATTTATCATTGGCAAGGACAGGGCTCTTTATCACGCCACAGATATATACCTGCTTGATGATATCCTGAGTGCGGTCGACTCACATGTTGGCCGCTCAATTTTGCAGAATGCCTTGCTTGGCCCTGTTATGAACGGAAAAACACGCATTCTCTGTACACATAATATCCAGGTTTGAATTTTGTCTTTTGTGTGTAGGTGGGGTTACTTTTTTTTTTAAGTTCATTTTTTTCTTAAAATATCAATATTACATGTTTATATGAGGAACTTTAAGGACTCTTATGCTAGTAATAGTCCAGACATAAACTTCGTATTGCAGGCAATACAATCGGCTGATTTGGTAGTTGTGATGGATAAAGGACGCGTGAAGTGGGTAGGAAGTCCATCCGACCCGTCTATTTCTTCTTACATCTCGTTTCTATCTCTAGACGAGGTGAACACATCCACCGGAATACAAAACAACAAAAATTTACCAATTGAATCAGAACAAAACCAAGAACTCGATTGTATAAGCACTTCCATTGATGCCCAGGCTGTCATTGAGGTTGAGACACGGAAAGAGGGAAGTGTTGAGGCAACAGTATACAAGTGAGTTACTGTCCACCGATAGATTTTTCTGTTTTACAAAGAACAAGAAGTATAAACAAAGAAGGAAAAAACAACTGTATATGTGAAACCATTCGACTATTTAATATCAATTTTCTACAGAAAATATGCTGCATTTGCCGGTTGGTTGGTTACAATTATGACATGTGTCTCGGCAATTTTGATGCAAGCTTCTCGTAATGGAAATGATCTGTGGCTCTCATTTTGGGTCGACACCACAGAAGGCAGCCCAAGCAAGTATTCAACCACTTTCTACCTGGTGAGCAGTACTTCTTGTTTTTTTTTTTTTTTTTTTTTTTTCCCTCCCTTTAATATTGTGCAAATCACATTACCATATATTAGGACTTCTTAACTGCTCTTTGATCGGGCAGGTCATACTTGGCATGTTTTGCTTGGTGAATTCATCGTTAACTTTAGTGAGGGCATTTTCATTTGCATTTGGTGGTCTACGAGCCGCTATTAGAGTGCATGATCAGTTACTACAGAACCTTACTGATGCACCTATTAGCTTCTTTGATCAGACCCCAAGTGGAAGAATATTAAACAGGTAGCATATATTTAATTTTATGATAATTAGATTTGTCTTCCTAATTTTTTTTGTTGGCTCCAACATACTAACGGCATTATATAGATTGTCTTCAGACCTCTTCACAATTGACGATTCTCTTCCATTTATTCTCAACATTCTCCTCGCGAATTTTGTGGCCCTTTTGGGGATTACCATAGTTTTATCATTTGTACAGGTATTGAAAGTACATGGTCATTTACCTTTTGCGATGCAGTTTTCACGGATCAGAAATTAGGAATTACGATACGTATTCTGGATAATTATTTATCACCAACGTGTTCCTGGTATATGCAGGTCATGTTCTTGCTGCTACTGATACCCTTTTGGTTTATTTACAGCAGATTGCAGGTTTGTATTCTATCATATGTATAATTTTTATAATTTTAATCCCAGCATAAAGCAAATCTCTATAAGGAGTGCTTATTCGGACAAGTTTTATTATTTTGCATATCAGTTGGTAACTAATATCGCTCTTGCTTCAGCCAACTGCCTTTCAATTTTGTTTACTTCTCGCAATCCTTTAGATAGTCCTTTCTTAAAATAAGTATTCAGACTATATATGCCGATCAATGGATTGTGAATAGCAAAAAATCATACAAACATGGTAAAAGGGTTTGACTATCAGATTACTAATTGCAAGAAGTTTCAGTTCTATTACAGGTCAACATCACGCGAACTGCGAAGACTGGATAGCGTGTCCCGTTCGCCTATCTACGCATCATTTACAGAGACATTGGATGGTTCTTCAACTATTAGAGCTTTTAATTCTACGGTATAAGTTTTACTGATGTTACTGCTTATTCATTTAATTATTTTATTGACTGTCGGCAATAGCAAAATCACTAATAATCATATAATGTTTCTGTGTAGTCACTTGCTTGTCGACTTAAACTTTAACACGATAATATTGTTACAAACCTTAGGGTTTTGGACAAAAGAATAATCTCACAAGAGAGGATACACCATATATATAGACTTAGGGCTGCAATATATGGGCTGGGCTTATAATACTTAACACCCCCCTTCAAACTCAAGGTGGAGGTGGAGGATCCGAAGCATTGAGTTTGAGCAAGTGAAGCCGATGTTGCTCTCTAGTTTGTGCTTTGGTGAAAAAATCGTTCTGACGGCACATACTGAAAAATCAGCCAAAAAGACGCACTGAACCGACGGAGCAGTCAGTTTAGTGCGCTCACGAAGAGCAAGCAATACATAGCATGTACACCCGAAAACCCGAAGATGATCATAGCTAGGGGGAATAACAAAAAGAACCTCAATCGTTCTTCAGTATGTGCCGTCAGAACAGCAAGTGGCTGATTTTTTCACCAAAGCACAAACTAGAGAGCAACATCGGCTTCACTTGCTCAAACTCAATGCTTCGGATCCTCCATCTCCACCTTGAGTTTGAATTTGAAGGGGGGTGTTAACTATTATATTATAGGCCCAGCCCATATGCCCTAAGTCTATAAATATCATGGTTCTGAAAACCGGACCGGTCATCGAACCGGTCGAGCTACTGGTTCACTGGTCGGACCATTGGTTGAACCGGTTGGACCGGAATTTAATATATTAATATTTTTTAAATATATGATATATTATATAGGAAATTTTATATATAAAAATATATTTAATTAAATATTTAAATACTTAAAGTATGCATAAATATTTTATAAATATCCATTAGACTTAAAAGCTATGAGGTTAAACATATATGAAATATATTATAAAATATTTTATATGACATAGAAAGTGGATATGAGAAACACAATTAATATACTACAAATGTATTATTGCCTTAAAATAATAATCACCAAATTTCTGTAACTTTATCTCAAATGTAATAATAATATTCTAAAGCCCATTAAACCACTCATTGTAAGATTTTTTTTTTTATTATTTATGTCCATTTCTTAAATATAGTGCATACTGCATAGTAAACATAAAAAGTAGACTTGCTTTTTCGAAGCCTATTAAAGTCCACTCGATCAGCAAGTTGCAATCAATTAATACTGTAAGGCCTAATAATTTCGTACTTTATTTGTGAACAATTGTCCCACGTCGAAACTACTACACGAAAAATTCAGCTAATTAATTGGTTTTACAAGCAACACTTACAAAGCAAACAATGAGACCGCTGGACTGCTCGAACCGCGTCCGGTTTGACGGTTTTGCCGGTTTTGAAACGATTCAAACGGTTTTTAACCGATTTCGTGTCCTGACGGTTCAATAGCTCGGACCGAACCGGTATATGTACTGGTTCGCGGTTGAACTGGTCGAACCGGCCGGTCCAGTCCGGTTTTCAGAACACTGATATATATGGGGCCTCCTCTTGTGAATAATCATTCATCCAAAACCCTAAGGTTTGTAACATCAGCGACAGAAACAGACCCCTTTGTAGCAGAAGTCGTACCACGAGCCCGAGCCGCACGGCGAGCACGATACTCTGCCAACTTTTTGGATGCTGAGTAAAACAATTCTCGTGACTGTGACCAGTCTTCCCACAATGCTTACAAGGATCTAGAGAGTCACCTCTGGGTGCACTAAGCAGTTGAGAAAATGTCCTTTGAGGAGCTGCGAGAACACTCTGCGATACAGACGGCGGAGCAACTGACAGAGAATGGAGACGAGTCTCTTCAGCAATCAAATCAGATAATGCTTGTGCCATGGTCAGAGTAGAGGAGTTATGAAGCAACCGTGTACGACTCAAATTCTGCTCTGACTCCCATGACGAAGCGATAAATAAAGAACTTCTCAACAAACTTATCTGCTGAACACTCCTCCGCCGAGCACTGAGGTACCATAGAGATCAATGGTCCCATCAAACGATCAAAAGCAGAATAGTATTCATCAATGGACATGGACTTCTGTTCAATCACGTGAATTTGTTACATAAGGGTGTGTAAGAGAGCACCACTATCCTGAACATAGCGCTGCTGCAAATAAGACCACATTTCTTTGGCTGTACGAAATGAAGAAAGGCTCATAATCATGGACTGCTTGACACTGTTGACGATGGCAGCCATCACTTTCCCATCATTAATCTGCCATATTTTGATTTTGGCAGCATTGCTATTATCAGCCTTCCTTTCGGGTCCATCATCAGTCAAGTGAAAAGCCAAACCGTAACCCCTCAACACGGTTTCAACCGAGAAAGCCCACTCCCGATAATTCTAACCATCAAGAGTAATATTGATAGCAATTCCATGAAGTTGCGACATGATTTGATAAACACGTAATAACAAGCCGCGACGAAGTATGAATGAAAACGGTGCGACGGGCAGCGCTGGGGCACACGATAGACGAGTGACAACAAAAAAAACAGAAATTGATGACGGTCGGGACAGATTAGAGTACAAAAACCCTAGCCCCGAAGGATGACGGATCTGAAAATGCACAAAACGAACACCAACACCTCCCAAAACGCAAAACAAAGAACACTGGCAACACGAGCATCAAATTCCGAGTTCACGGATGGTCGCGGGAAAAAATTCCGGCCAGCCATGCGCCCTCACGCGCCGGCGCCTGGGATTGACGGCAGTAACTTCCTGCGGCGCATGTGACTCACACGCGCGGCTTCTGACGGCGAAACTTTGCCGGAAGGTCGGTCTCGAGGCGGCGATTTTAGTGGTGTGGGAGGTGAGATCGAAAAAAATATTTATGTGTAAGGCTGTGATACCATGTTACAAATCTTAGGGTTTTGGACAAAAGAATAATCTCACAAGAGAGGATACACCATATATATAGACTTAGGACTGCAATATATGGGCTGGGCTTATAATACTTAACAAATATTTATCCCAATCAGCCAGATGTTGTTTTGTATTTAGAGAAGTCAATTGATTAGTGATACTCTTGTGCAGGACTTGTTTCTATTCAGATTCATGAAGCACGTGGGAATATATCAGCGAACTTCTTACACTGAAGTCATCGCAAGTTTGTGGCTTTCCCTTCGCCTTCAGGTATATAATTATAATGCCCCTTGCAATCATTTACTTTTGAGATATGTTATTAGACCATTTTAGGTTGAAAATGCTGATGTGGAAGCTTGATTTTTCAGTTGTTGGCAGCATTTATCGTCTCATTTGTTGCCGTGATGGCCATTGTTGGAACACACGGATATATCCCTGTCAATTTGGGTACCCCGGGCTTGGTAAATATTATTATACACCCAAAAATTGCAAAAGCACTTAACCGAAAAAAGAAGAAAGGAAAAAAACTTTGAACGAATAATTAAAAAAGGCTACCCTTCATGTTTGGCCTAATTACATATTGTTCATGCTCGTGCGATGCTAAGATAAAGCTCGTCTTTCAAACAGGTTGGTCTGGCTCTTTCTTATGCTTCCCCAATTGTGTCCTTGTTGGGAAGCTTCTTGACGAGCTTCACTGAAACAGAGAAGGAGATGGTTTCTGTTGAAAGGGTACTTCAGGTGAGTTGAATGAAATTAAATTTGTGCTTGTCATTTGATAATTGCTGATCCTCTTTTTTTTTTTT